TGGGGGTTTTTAGAGTAAAACTCAAAAACAAAATCGTATAAACTCGGATTCAAAACGAACAATTTCATACCATATAATAAAGTGAATTGTTACACACATTATATAGGATAAAATTCAAACATAAGGGCAGCCACATATTATGTTTTTGTCTAACATCACTTAATTAACTAATGTTGAAGATATCATGATAATTTGGCTTAATAGCATTTTATATTTTGGGTGGTGAGACCACTAGTGTTTCTTTATGTTAAATACATTTTATATACAAAATTCAGGAGAAAATTCAAACATATAAGGGCAGCTACATATTATGTTTTTGGCTAATATCACTTAATTAACTAATGTTTAAAATATGACGATACTTTTGCTTGATAGCATTTTATATATTTGGTGGTGAGACCACCAGTGTTTCTTATGCTGTTGAGATGGCATTGAGAAGACAGATCTTAATATTACGCTTGACAATATCGGTTGGAGAAAGACAAACGGTTTTATTTATTGAATTATTATATGGTTGAGTACTCCAATTAGTAGAGACCCAAGTTCGACTCGCCCTTTTCTCCCCTTTTTTATATAGGTCTTTGTTTATTCTTCAACATTAATAAAATTTCATTACATATTCAAAATTAAATCACCGTCTCACGATGTGTCTGCCTATGGGTATTCCTTTAAAGAGTAAATGACTGATTTCTCATAAGGTTTGAATAAATTATACACGGGTTGATTGTTTAACATTTATTATTTTGATCTTCTTGAAACTCGTTCGCTGGCCGTTGAATGGTGACTTTAAATATAAAAAGTCAATAATGTCCTTATATTATAATAATATATTATATTACATTTTATACAAGGGAACGACAAAATTATTGTTCTATAAAATTTGGTCAACATATCTGTCGGAAAAGAAAAAAAGTTAGTGGTATCATTGAGCACATGTGCCAAAAATTAAGGGATGTTAAAGTAGTAAACATTAAAGTGAAGCTAAAACAACATAGGAGAAAAGAGAGCTAAAACAACATAGGAGAAAAGAGGCTTTCTCGGACTATTCTTCTTGATTTTCCTTTCAAGGAAATCTTTATAAGGGAAAGGTGCGAGTCTTTTATTAAACTGCTGTAACTTCTCCTTTGCCCAATTTTTATTACTTAAAACAATTTTAAAGTCTGTCCGTGTGTAACTTGTGTAAACCTTAGGGAAGGTCAGTATAATTTATCCTTCTTTAAAATGGGTTAGTGCTTAAGCTGATTTTTATTTTTATTTTCCTGAAATTGAGATGATTCTATTGATTCAATATAGGAAAATAATTCTTAAACCATTGTGAATAGCCAAGGAATTTTTTTTATTTTTTTTTATTTTTTTTTGAGACCGTGAATGAGATCAATACTTGAGTTTGTGTCAAAATAAAATAAAATTTCGGCTATACACATCTGTTTCGACAAATGTTCTTTCACATTTGTTTTGACAAAGTGATGAAGACTCAACGAGGACGTTGGTTATTCTTAAACAAAATTAGTGGAAAAAATATATATAAAAATTCTCAAACAAAATTTTAAAATTTCATTAAATATTCAAATTTGAAGCACTAACTTACTTACACACGCACGATTGTGTATATTTTTCCTGAAAAGAGTTAATTCTTATATAAGCTGATTTTGTTGATTGCACGTACGTTTCCACAAAAGAGCTGATTGAGGCTTCAACCGAAAGACAGTGGAGATGGCCAAACAAAGTTTGGCACTACAAGGACTCCACAAACACATAAATTATACTTTCCGCCACTAAATTATATCTTATTATTACATTTCAAAATGGCAATCACAAATCAAGTGACTTGAGGTTGTAAATTTAAATAACATATTAATATACTTTCAATAATTGTACACTATTCTTTTATTTATTTATTTTTCTCTATGTCGTGCGCAAAAAAGTTAATATTAGACAACAAATTATTGGTTAGAAAAAGTTGGTTACGGTATATACCTTTTATGGAGCTAAATCTTTTACATTTGTAATATTAATACAATAATGTGTGTAGTGCAAACGATAATAAGTTAAGAGTTGCTATCCAATGGAACAAATAGTTACTTCTATGTCATTACATAAAGCTATTCTTGAGGACAAATTTTTCAAATTATTGTTCCAAATGTATACTATGTTTCGTAGATATGGAGTTATAGTTTTAGAATTGGAATTGGAATTAATGAAATTAGAGAAAAGTTTCTTATAAAATTGAACCAAATTTTTTTTCAATTCCACCAATTTCAATTCCATACTGCCAAACAAAACCGAAAAAATGGTAAAGCACCATTGTGCAATTTGTGCTTTGCCTTTGAGTCCTACAATAATACGTATTTAGTGCAATCTATAAGAGGCAAATAGTTGTTGTCCAATGGAACAACCATCGCGAGATTTTCAAAGTTCTCTCGTTTCTTTTTCTTTTCTTCCTCTTCCTTTTTTTGTTTGTTTGTTTGTTTGTTTTTTTTTTTTTTTTGCAAACAATAACATACTATTTGAAACTTGATTACTGCACTTCTATTTTCTAGTTTGTTATGTTGTTACACACCATTAATTGTTAATTGTTAATATGCCCTCCTAAACTAAATTTCTGGCCATCCCAGAATAAAACCCAATCTCTTTTTTTTTTTTTTTTTCAAATGTGGACGTCATCTTTTGAAACTCCGTAAATTTGAGAGAAAAATCTCTAACTTGAAGTTTATTTGGGCTAGCTCCAGAGATACACATTGAAGATGAATTTGAAAAATCGTTGCCAATACAATATAATTATATGTATGTATTTACATATATATATTTACACCAAGTCATTGATTTGATGCTTGCAAACGCAATAAATTAATCATCAAAGGTTGTAGCATAGTAATATCTCATATTCCTCCCAATATAAAAAGTGAGGGTTCAAGTCTTCATATGAGCAAATGGGTATGAGCTTCTTACCAATAAAATAATAATAATAATAATGATAAAAATATTAAGAATCAGATTAATTCAGTCTGAAAAGCTTGCATTGAAGACAAATTCAATAATTTTATGAACGGTAAAGAATTCAATAATGTGAGTGTAAAAAATATACTCACATTCCATCTTCAAATATTGCAAAAAAAACTATGCAAATCACTCCCTCCGTTTATTTCCCTTTAAAAACATAGACAAAAATCACTAATTTACCCTTATTTACCATATTGCCCTTGGATCATTTTCTTATTCATATTTGAACCAGTTGGTAATACGCTCTCTAAATTCAATAAAATAAAATTATTGAATGCCCTAGTGGTCTCCCTCTTTCTCAAGTTTCTTCATTAGATGCTTATTGCAAATTCTTTGAGGCTATGTTTGGCCGATATTGAATTAGACTTTTGAAATTAAAATTAATGGAATTAAAAAAAAATAATTCAAAAAATTAAACCAATTTTTTTTCTAATTCTACCAATTCAAATTTCAAAAGTTCAACTCTACGCCGTCAAACACACCTGACTCTATTCTCTCTTCTTCCATGTCTCTCACTTTCTAACCGTACTATTTGAAGGTTTTGAACACCAAAGCCAACAAATCAATTAAAAAAGAAGATAGAAAGAACATAATGATAAGGATCTAGAAACATAATATTTGGCAATTCCTTGACTCCCCTTATTTGACTGATGTGATTGCAATTATGAATTAACATTTCCAAAGCAAGCATTATTTACATTATCCAATTCTCCATTCTTTGGTTGAATTGGCGCCTTGGCGGCGCATTCTTCCCTCTCTCTATGTATATGTATTTTGACATGCCCTTAATTTATTGGTTTTGTTTTAGAGTGTGGTGGTCCAATCAATAAAGCCATCCAAAATTAAACTCTAATATTTTCTTAAATATATCAAACTAAGCTACTTTTTAGTTACTATGAAATGAACAATAGTAATGTGGTTGCTATTAGGAGCAGAGCCAGAATTAAATTTCGGAGGGATTTAGTGTATTTGATGGGGGAAATCAGCTAACACATTGAAAGGAAAAAAAGAAAAAAATCATAGCAAAATCACTATCTTTTCAATCCATTAACATACATATTAATCTAACTTATGAAACCAAGGGCACATAACAGTAGTATGCTGATGGTTTCCAAAAATATAAATTTTGAAATATACATTTTAATACACATACTAATCTAATTTTTGAAATATACACATTACTTCGGGAGGGAGACATTTGTGAAATTTCAGAAAAATATATATAAAATAATAATAATAATAAAATCAGGGGCATGCGCCCTTCTAGGCACATCTCTCTCCACTCCTGGTTGCTATCAATTACATGAGGTACTCGTAGCCATGGATGATAAGTTCTACAATATCTCGAGAATACCATATCCTTGAGTCTACCAGACCTTAGATGTGGTGACGGCTGGGAGATCCCGGATATTTTAAAATTTTCAGCCGTGGAAAGTAAGTGAAACCCTCTATTTTCATTGATGATCGAGAAACGTGTAATTTTTAACGAAAATAATAACTCTCACTTCACAGAGATGGACCTGTAATTGGTTCAGTGAGAGGAATTGCCACCACTAAAATTTTATCTTTTTGCTATTATACCCACGAATTTTAATTTTTTTCAAATTATGTACTTATAAAATTTAGAATTTGCTCTCACTCAAATAAATAAATAAAAAATAAAACAAGATCATCCCTCTCACGTATTATTCAAGTCGGTCGCTGATTAGTAGGCTACCACCACATGTAAATTTCTCCAACAGATAGATGGAGAGAAGAAAAAGAATTAGTAACACAAGTTATAACAGCTTTTTATTGTATGACATAAACAGTATGAAGAAAACATGCAAAAGCATCCAACACTTCCTCCACATTCTCACACAGTAAACACACCCATATACACAAAATGCAAGAAACCAGGATTCACTCCATCATCAACAGGTCAGAGCAGCACACAGGAGGAGGACACGCAAGCACATTATTTACAAGTAAAATGACGATAATAACCCCCTCCCCCTTCCCTACAGTGCCAGAACAAGACCTGGCACAGACGAATTGTCCGAGAGCTTGCTCTGCCAAATGCTCTGACACTTCATCGACGGTGACGACGACTGTGAGGTGACGTTAGAGTTCCCAAACCTAGTGACTTTAACGGAAGTGTTGAAGTACTCCCTCAGCTGGGTAATTATGCCATGGGTGACGGTCCACGCGTGCACCCAAGAGATAGAGTCGTGACCCTCGACGAGGACCGTTGATCCGAACGCGACGAAGGAGAGAGGTTTGAAGGTGAAAGATTGGTGGGGTGATGTAGTGGTACCGGTGAGTAATCGCATCATGTGGTGGTGATGGTAACGTGGGCCATGGAACCACCACTCTATGTGTGGTGCTAGTAGGTGGTGCACCGTATCGACGTCTTGGGACCTCAAGGCTTCGTAGAGGGCTTTCACCACCCTTTTGTTGGCTTCTTCTTCTTCCTCCAGGCTTGCTTGTGGGCTAGCCTGCATCTCTGGAAAACGACACATAGAGAGAATAAGGAATATGATTATATGACAATATGTGTTGATGGGAGGGGACGTAGGCTACTTATATAGGAGAGATCAACAGGACTCGAACACGGCACACTCGTGGGAGCTGAGTACACTACCAAGTTTTTTTTTTTTTTTTTTAATAACCCAGAACTTCCCACGAAGCGGCCCTTATAGACCCCAATATGTGGCACCAAATTGGAGGTGTAGGGCTGCCCCCACCATACACCGGGTGAGTTGAGAGAATCTTAACAGGGGGGAAGGCTTGAACCTGGGCCGAGTGATGACTCAAACCAACACCTTACCATCACTGTTAGGCCCCCGGGGCAGTACTCTACCGAGTTACTCATTGAATTTAAATATATTGAATTGAGATTTTAAGAATATTATTTCTAATTTGAAAATTATTAATCTTCAAATTATAAATAATACAGTTTAAATTAAAAATAATTTTGTAGAAATTTCTAAGGCACCCAGGATGGAAGAACTCTGCTAGCTAGAGAAGAGCATCTAGATGATAGTGAAAGTTATAAAACTAGCATGTCTGTGGCCTAGCGGTATAAGACTCATATTTCTCAAAGGAAGGTCAGGGGTTCGAACCTCAGTAGCCAGTGTGTAAGTTATAAAATAAATTGTTTTTAGCAGAATTTTGGATGTCTGGTGTTCTCAGTAATAAATTTAGGAAAAATTAGGTTAGATTAACTTGACCCAAAAAAATAGTTAATATTGTTACAGTTAAACTACATTGGGGTTTAGAAAATGACTTGAACCCAGTCTATTTGGTTGGTGCATGAGGTTTGGTGTATATATATTATATATACACATGATCATCTGTCAATACTTCCATTACTAAGTTTTAATATTATTTATTGACTTTTTAAATAGGGAGGAATTTTTACGTGGTCCGAATCTATAGACTTATTTGTTTGTTTGCGTGTCAGATTATGATTAACTAGGACCATGCAATAATTTATCGTAAACAGGACTTGAATTGGATGTTGTTGGTGTATATTAGGTTAAACCATGTAATGATCTTGATCCTGTTTTGTAGAGAACCATTTTTTCCATAATTTTATAATCACATGAATCTGTTTTTTCCTAAAAAAACAACTCTATAAATGGCCTTTCTCTTTCTTTTTTTCTTTCTATATTTTCATGTTCATTTCTTGTTTGTTGTCAGGAATGTCGAAGTGACTGTTTTATTTGTTTAATTTCCAAAAGGCAAGATGTTTGTGTTGATGTGATTGTTCATTTTGGAATATCGAATGGACTGTTCATTTCTCTCTGTTTTATGCTTCTTTCTTTTTTCTTGGAATATATTTGTAATTAATGTTTAGAAAAATTTACTTCAATTTCAAAAAAAAAAAAATTACAAGTGATCTTGTGATTTTAATGTCATATTTGTCCTTCCCAACTCTTTCAATTCTTTTTAACTTATTTTTTTAATTTATTTCATTTACCAAAGACCTTGTGATCTGATATTAGAAGTGAAATTTGTCCGACATCGAATTTAGATGGGAGTTGAAGTGTATATAAATGAATGAGTAAGTTATTGGATAAAGGAGTAAGTGGTCACACGTTTCATCTAGTATGTCTCCTCTATCTCTTTCTTTCCTTTACCTCAACTGATAGATTTAATTAACAGAATATTTATTCACAAAGTGTGTATACATATTCCATTACTAATTTTTTAATCTATGCTAAAAAAAATTATATTTGAAAAAAATATAAAATTAGAATTGCATTGGGACTCGAAAACGATATAAAAATATGTACTAAACAGTGACTGACAAGTGTTTACAATATCTTTGAAACCTTAAAGCCAAATGAAAGTATTTTTCAAAAAAATCAAACATATAATTCATGTATCATTCGCGAATTTACTAAGGCAGCCACATGTTGGGTTAATTAACAGAATATTTATTCACAAAGTGTGTATACATATTCCATTACTAATTTTTTAATCTATGCTAAAAAAAATTATATTTGAAAAAAATATAAAATTAGAATTGCATTGGGACTCGAAAACGATATAAAAATATGTACTAAACAGTGACTGACAAGTGTTTACAATATCTTTGAAACCTTAAAGCCAAATGAAAGTATTTTTCAAAAAAATCAAACATATAATTCATGTATCATTCGCGAATTTACTAAGGCAGCCACATGTTGGGAGTCCATGCCCCCATCATCCAAAGAGCATCCATCTTTCAAATTTACATGAAATTGTGGATTAATGTTTAGCGTTACAAAAATATCACATCATCGTCTTAGCTAGGATTAAATTGTATATGAAATCAAAACATAAATGAGTACTTATATATGTAATGCCTTGGGATGTTTTTGATTGAAAGAAATCCACCTATCTAATTTCCATTCTATTTTATGGAATTATATTTAGTTGTAAAATCAGCTTAGTTTCGGAAACCTGACTGCAAAATAAAAAAAGAAAATTGAAAAGATTGAAGAAAGAAGCACACAGAAAAAGAGGCCAATGGGTTATTTATGAAGGTTGAAAGTATTACTCAACTATTCTGTGTGTTCCATGGTATTTTATTTGTCGTACCAATTATGTGAAGATGTGGCCTTCACTTGCAAGTGTTCATCCCTAAACGGAACTTCTTTTGACTTTATTTCCCATTCCTGCTAAAACCAAGTGCTCTGCCACCATTCTCCATCATCTTTCACACACGCACACTTGAGAAATTGTAATAAGGTAAATTAAGTTGGTTCTTATTAAGATAGTAATATGACACTGAAAGAAAGAGGGTAAATACCCACGTGGAAAATGAAAGAGTTGAGGGGGTCTCTGAGCCTGCGCCTTTTGAACCTAATCAAGTGGAAGCCACACGCTAGTTCCACTTGCATGTGTGAAGTATATCCAGAATGGCCGCCATGCATATCGTATGTACAGCTGGTTGCATAATTGCATAGTATTTAAAATAGCTATTCCAGGTATTACCTATCCGATAGGATACATCAAATTCCTTCGGGCAGCTCCGCACACCATAAAGTAGAGAGGAAAAAGAAAGAAAGTAATAAGAGTAAGTAATTTGGACAACACAAGTTATCTATTTACTTTTTAAAACGTAGAGTGTTACGTAAGTTAAAAAGTGATGATATGGTACTCTATTTTTTTTATGCATATGTTCTATGGTGTAGAACCCAATTATCTATTTCTCTATTTATTATTTTATTAATTTAATTTTAAAATAAAATAAAAAATTTGAATGTGAATTTAATAATTTTTTGTCTTCTTAACGGATATATTCCAACGGCTATATTTCCAACGGCTATATTTCAATTTCTATATAAACCACTCATTCTATCTTCTTTCAATTATGAAATTCACTTCTTTGCATTCTCAAGTCCATTATTTGTTCTTTCAATTTCTATATAAACTACTCATTCTATCTTTTTTTAATTCTATCTTCTTTCAATTATCAAGTCCACTTCTTTGCATTCTCAAACCCATTCTCTATTCTTTGAGTCTTCATATTTCTTATACAAAAAAACAATGGCTTCATTGTCACGAGATATACCCGTCTCTGAGTCTATTTCTCCATTGAATTCGTCATATTCAGATGGGGAAGATATTTTTGAAATCCATCGAAAAAGGATGAACGATGTGAGCAGATTATTATCGCCTGATGGGGTGCAGGCATTCTTTTAACCTCGTAAGAGAAAATATATTAAACGTGATCAAGAGGAGGCAGCACAACGGCTATTCCGAGATTACTTTGTTGAAAATCCGATTTATCCACCAAACATATTTCATAGAAGGTTTCGGATACGACGAGAGTTGTTTCTTCGCATTTTGAACGGTGTTACAACATATGACAAATGGTTCTCCAGAAACTCGATTCCCTCAGTCGTATGGGGTTCACTCCTATACAGTGACGGGTATCATATTACACAATATGATCATTGAAGACGAGGGCAAACACATTTTGCAATGGACACCTCCGACAGATGACCCAATCTCCCTTCCACATTACGTTTGAAACCCATCGATGTTGGCGGCACACATTTCCTTTCGCCTAAGTAGGATTCGCAATAGATCAGACAATGCCGATCTTAGGAGAGATCTCATGGAACATTTATGGAATCAATTTGGTAATGAAGATTTTTAAATTTGTTGTAGTAGAATAAAATGTAATTTTCATATTGCTGACGAATAAACAATATTTTAAAAATTATTTGTTTCGATTAGATTTGTTAAGAAATTTAAAGAAATTATAATTTAAAGAAATATCCATTACATTTATAAATAAAAATTACATTAGCTTCCCACAAATAGAAAAAGAAAATTACATTACATTAGCTTCCCATAGGTAGAAAAAGGAAATTATATTGAAGATGAAATATAGTATTTATAGGCTAAAAATATAACCGTTTATTACCGTTTGAATTTAATGGAACGTTTGGAAGTAAATTGAGCCGTTGCTGCCTTTTGCTTTTTTGCCTTCAATCAGATTCATTAAACAAAGGAAAAAAAGAATGGAGTATTCTCTAAAGGCAGCTCTATCTGTGGACAATAGCTTAGACAATGGCTGTAGGTCCCACAAGAGATATACTCTACTTCTTTCATCACACCGCCCATTTCTCTCTCCTAACTGACACATTTCTACTCTAAACATAATGACGCCCCGGATGCTCTAAGAGGGGTGGAATAGAAAATTATTATTTTTAGATTTAATAATATATTTTGTATTATAAAAATATATTATTAAAATAGACTGGTGTGTGAAAACCGTGACGTCACCCATGTGAGATTTATCCAAACATCAAGGGAAGTAAGTGTAATTTACCCTTAAATAAATTACAATATATTATTATTATAATAAGTCATCTTTTGATTCTGGGCAACCTAGTCATAGTTTACAATAAGTCAGTACAATGAACACAAAATTGTTTAGGTGTGTGTAATTTTTTACCCTCTAATAAATGGAGCAACAAAAAAAATGAACTTTTTGTGGGTGTCACTTATCAAACGCTGACTTGTCAGACATGGCACGTTGATAAGTCAATACAACCCTAACCGAGGCCCTCATGGCGAGTTGAAAAGTCAAAAGTCTCGAGGGACCAACCTTCGAGCACCCCAAACCCCGGCATCGCACCAGGCTCACCAAGCCTCGAGGGACCAACCCTCGAGCACCCCAAGCCCTGGTATCGCACCAGGCTCCTCAAGCCTCGAGGAACCAAACCTCGAGCACCCCAAGCCCAGGTATCCCCCTAGGCCTACCGAGCCTCAAGGGACCAACTCTCTAGCACCTCAAGCCCTAGTACCATACCAGGCCATAACGTATCGAAAGATTGGAGCCCCAGAGAGCTCGCCATCATAATGCCATAGGTTCATATATAGCACGAAACGAAGGTAGGGCCTTCATAGCTATAAGGAATCTAAACTTGGGAAACTTAAGAGGATCTTTGATTGGTGTATGAGAAGTCAAGAAGTGCATTCGCTCTTAGCAAAGCCCAATTAATAAGATGATAGGATTATACACATTATGACAGCAAACCTTAAAATCACATTTAATGTTGTGTCAAGCTCGACCAACCGGCGGCCAAGTAACATTTAATGCCCAAATTGGGGGAGAAACGACATAACAACATAGTGCAAGGCTCGATGAGAGGATTGGACTCTTCAGGCTCCTAAACCTTTAGGATTACCCACGTGGTCCTGACTGGGAGCCATGCATGCGAGAAACCATGCATGAAAAAGACCATTGGATAATGACTAATGGAATCTGGGACTATAAATAGTACTATCCCATGAAGGAATAACGGACTAGAAAAGGCAGCTGTCATAAGAAATTGTATACCTGCCCTACCACCATCTCAATCTTGATGATTGGTCTTCTTTTCCTCCTCATACACCAAGTATCTTCTCTATTTCCTTCACAGTTGTACTTCTGATATTACCATTATACACTTGTTTATTGTCTTGATAAAAAAGAACCCCTACATGTTGGGGGAGGTGGTGATGTTCTCATCCAGTCTCAGGCGCCGTCACGTGCCTCCAACGCTAGTGTACCCCACATCACACTACTGGAGAGCTCAATGGCCTCTTCAGTCCATGAGGAAGTATTGCAATCCAACCGTTATCTCAATGATCGCTTAGACATACTGGAGGCTATGATCATAGAAAATGCACGGGTTAGAACCGCCTTTCCAGCTAAAGCAACCCTGCCTAAACACAACCAACTAGTCAGTTCATCCACCGACGCAGGCTCAAGCAGCCCCAAAGCCCGTCTAGGCGCAAGTTGAACCTCAAGTCAACCCCTCTCCAGAGTACATCACTGAATCTATGTTACTGGACTGCTTCATGAAGCATGCCTTGTATGCTGCGCGCGCGTTGGTACTACGCACTGAGCCGCCATACCTGAAAAGTCTTACTCAGACTCCGTACCCACAAGGGTACATCATTCCAAAGTTTCCCAAGTATGACGGTGTAAAAGGAGATGCTGACGAGCATTTACAGAGATTTATAAAGTCTCTAGGCTAGCATAGCCACGACGAGGTCCTGCACCTTAGAGAGTTCTCCAAGTCCCTCATGGGGCTCGCTTACAGGTGGTTTAAGAGTCTCGAGCTAAACTCGATCACCACGTGGCAGCAGCTTTCCCAAAAGTCCACGCTAAGTTCAGCCAGGCCATTGAGCGAGTCACCACTCTCTTTCATAAAGGAAACACAGGAGCCCAGTGAGGAACCACTTGAGTTTATCCCCATATTTCAAGCTCGAGTGAGGGAATGTTTAGAAGGTAGTAGTGAAAGAGATCTGGTCGACATCTGCATACAAGGCATGAACAGAACTTACGGGGTACACTTGGTCAATCTGGGACTCAACAGCTTCAGTGATCTTACCACAGCTGTACAGAACATCTGCAAGGACCTTGCACCCCCAAAGGTAAAAGTCGCTAAACAGGTCACCCGCAAAGAAGCACCCGTTACTGCTCACAATGACAAGACCAAAAGGCGCCATAAAGTAGACACCAAGGCTAAGGCATCGTTTGCAGAGCGAGCCAACAAGCTTCTCCCATTCGCAGTTCGTATGGAAGAAGTCACCAACACCCTCAAGCAGTAGGTTAAACATGACGTGGTCGTATTACCCATCACTCACAAAGAGCCAACAGCACAAGATCTTGCCAGTCCCAATTTCTGCATCTTCAATCAAGCCATCACGCATCCAACAAGCGCATGTTGAACTTTTAGGCAAATTTTTCAGCAGCGACTTGAAGGTGGTGACCTCAAGGTGACTGCGCCAATGGATGTGCGACACAACCCTTATCTTCGCCACCACAGTGTGGCCACAGTCACTTACTACAATGAGAACACGGAAACCAATCCCCGCCACTCACAGATTCAGTAAGAATAGCGTGAGGACGAGTGTTGTGCAACAGCTTCGTCGAGTCAGCCCACCTCCCGGCAAGCCCCATTAACCATTTCCTTCTCTAAATCTGATAAGAGAGTATCTACTCCTCAGAACCGTCCTCTCTATGTCACCGCATATGTCAATGGTATGGAGTTTCGACGTGCTTTTTTAGATAATGGATCTTCCATTAACCTCATGCCCTAGATAATTTTCAAGAAAGCTGGTCTGCCTCATGAGCACCTCATCAAGGAAGCTATAGAAGTATATGGGTTCGGAAATAAGTCCCACCAGACTCTAGGTTATGTGAATATCAACCTGGCAGTTAACAAGTTTAGGGCTCCCACCAAGCTCCACGCTATCAAGGCTGACACTTCCTACCATGTCCTTCTCGGGCGGGCATGGATACACCGCTTTGGCATAGTAGCTTCAACCTATCATCAGTGTTTCAAAGGCATATTGGGCAACAAACTCATCACTGTCCCCTGCTCAGATAAGCCCTTCGCTAAGCATGAGGCCCACTTTGCTGAAGCACTCTTCTTTGATGAGATGGAAAATGAGGACAAAGAGGGTGAGGCCAACATCATTCGCACCCCACTGCCTAAGTCAGAAGAAGTACAACAAGGAATTTTCTACCCTCCACAGCCATATGTACCTCGCCGCAGTACAGACGCCACTACCCCTCGCGAATGCAAGCGGGTCTGGCTACTAGATGGGTGATACGTTTACCGTTTATGATGGTGTGCGGGCTTAGCTTCGACCAGCTCAGTTGTTGAGCCCACACGTACAGAAGTGGAGCGGCCCCAGCTTTCAGATCTCAAAGATATCAATCTTGCCCTTGTTATACAAGAGCTGCGGATCACTTTTATCTCCTCGCAAGTGGATCCGTCACTACGAGACAGTCTCGTTTGTCTTTTGAAAGAGTTTTCAGACATTTTCGCTTGGATTTACAGCGAGATGCCAGGATTAGACCCCCAGCGCATGACACATCATCTTAGCACCATATTGGGCTCGCGTCCCATCAAACAAGCACCTCGAGTCTATCGTCCAAAGCTCGAGCTTCAAATCAAAACAGAGATCAAAAATTTGCTCCTCACAAGTTTCATTAGACCAATCCTATACCTCACTTGCCTAGCAAATATTATTCCCGTGAAGAAGAAGAATGGGCAAATCCGTGTCTGTGTTGACTTTCGTGATCTCAACAAGGCATTCCCAAAAAATGATTTCCCCCTTCCAATCATTGATACGTTGGTCGACGCAACGGCCGGGCATTCCCTATTTTCCTTTATGGATGGTTACAGTGGCTACAATCAGATATGGATGGCTAAAGAATATGCCTAAAAACTGCATTTCGAACCCCACTTGGCAATTTCCACTACACTGCCATGCCCTTCGGGTTAAAAAATGCAAGTGCAACATATCAGAGAGCTATGACTGCCATATTCCATGATATGCTGCATCGCACAATGGAAAATGGTGTCGACGACTTAGTGGTGAAATCTAAATAGTAGGAAGACCATCTCTAGGATCTACGCCAAGTATTCGAAAGATGCCGCATGTACAACCTGCGTATGAACCCCCTCAAGTGTGTATTTGGGGTCAGTCAAGGCAATTTTTTGGGTTTCTTAGTGCATCGCCAGGGGATCGACCTCGACCCCACCAAGGCTCGCGTAATTACAGATATACCCCACCCGTGTTCTTTCAAGTAGCTTAAGAGTTTTTTTGGGCAAAGTTTCAGATTTGCACAAGTTCATACCAGCACTCGCCGAGGTTTCTCACACTTTCAGCTCGCTGATCAAAGACAATGCCAAATTTGTCTGGACAACAGCTCATCAAGTAGCTTTCGAAAAGATCAAGTCCATTCTTAGCTCCTCGACCACAATGCGTCCACCTATCAGAGAGCAACCCCTACTACTCTACCTTACCTCAATTGACAGGTCCATTGGTGCCCTTCTCGCTCAAATAGTTGAAAGCCGAGAACGCCCAATCTATTATCTCAGCCGCCTCGTCCATGAGGCCGAAGCTCGATACTCAGCCATTGAGCTCCACTGCCTCGTGTTTGTCTTCGCAGCATAAAAATCCAGGCATTATTTCATGGCCCACCCCATTCATTTGATCACACGGTGCAACCTGTACAAACATATCCTCTCTAAGCCCATCATTTCTAGCAAAGCATCACGCTGACTCTTAGCCATTCCATAGTTTGATATTGCATCTCACGCACCACGAGGCATCAAGAGCTAAGCCCTAGTTGATTTACTTGCACAGTTCCCAGAGTAGAGGCATAAGCCCCTTGACGATGCTTTACCCATAGACAGGGGCATTTCAAAACTATGCATCTGTTGGGACTCCAAATTAGTTATCAAGAAGGTAACTGGTGAGTATGCCATCCGCGAGCCTTCGCTCGCATCCTACCGCACAATCATTCAGAGGCTCCTCGCCAAGTTCCCCTGCGTCCGTTTTACTCATGTACCTCGCTCCAACAATTGATATCTAAACGCGCTCGCAACATTGGCTTCCAAGCTAATAATTACAGATGATACGACTCAAGTTTATATCACCAAACGCATTGGTCTAGCCACAATCACCGAGCTTTTCCCAATAAAGAATGTTCCGAGCAATGACTGGCGAGCCCCAATCATTAATCAACTCAAACACATGACAGGACCAATACCCATCACATAATTGAAATCATTTCAACTCTTTTGGGGGCTTCTATACTTCCGCTTACCATATGGAACATTGGCTAGGTGCCTTGACCCCAAAAAGCATAAGCATCCCTCAAAACAACTCATGAGCAGCACTATACTACCCCTCTCGCTCTGTATCGACGACTCTAGTGCCAGGGTTACTACTGGCCAGACATGGCAGTACAGGCCAACGCCCTTCAGCGCACCTGCCTATAATGTTAAGCTATGATGGACGAAACTGAGGCCTGTGTTATCGATGTTGTTGATTGGCGTCGCCCATTTATTGAGTTCCTATCGCGCTCTCCTAAAGGACAAACAGGCCGCAACAAAGATAAAAAGAAAGTTTGCACAGTTCGAGCTTAGGGAGGGCGAGCTTTTCCGCCACATCGTCAATGGCACGTACTTGCAATGCTTGGCTCAAAGCAAGGCCATGGAAGCATTAAAAATGGCTCACCAACTGGAGTATCAAGGCGCGCGTAAGCTTTTCACGCATTTGTTGCGCAAAAGATTTTACTGGCCCTACCATGGAGCGCAATGCCAAGTCTCATGTGCAGAAGTGTAGGCCTTACCAATACCACCACCATCAAATACATACTCCAGCTACACCCCTCCATCCTATTGAGGCCCCATGCCATTCCACACATGGGGATTAGATCTCATTAGACTAATTGCCCCTCGCATTCTGGGCCTATCGCATTTCTAGCAAACGCTCTACCGACCAGACCCCGTTCTCCCTTGTCTATAGAACTGAGGCCGTCCTGCCAGTAAATATCGCAATCCCCATAACACAGCTTGCCTTGCGAAGTGGGGTTTACATGTCTCAAGATAACAAGTTGGAGGCTCTCGATGAAAGATGCGAAATAGCCCTTCAACATCTTCACCAGTATCAGCGCAACATAGCGCGAGCATACAATAAACATGTCCAGCCTCGACAATTCAGGATAGGCGAGCTTGTCCTTAAAGCCCCCCCACACATTATGCGAGGCCTTTCAGTTCTAAAGTTTGCACCTAATTGAGAGGGCCCTTACATTGTTAGGACGTCTAGTGATAGTGGTTACTGCACTCTTAAGGGCTCTGATCATAACCCAATTAACAATGTCTGGCTGATGCCTTACTTTTGTTAAGTGTTTGTAAACAAAAAATGTTTATCTTGCAAGGAAACCCTTTTTGGCAAATGTACGACGCTATCCTCTTAACTTCTTTTCATTCAAAAAAAATGGGGGAGTGCGAAATAACATAACTTTTTTTTTTATTCAATATTTCGAATTACAATTGTCAAGTCCTCGACTGTTATATACATACATCAAAAGAAAGACAAAGAGCCTAGCCTATGTAAAAGGATAGCAGTGAGTAGTCATCGTCAAGCTCCTACGAATGTGCCACCATCACTACCAAGCTTGCTTGCTCCCGTGCAAGCTCTCATTCCAATTGCTCAATACACGTTCTTGCTTCCTAAAGGCGCGGTGCGAGAAGTCTCTACCTTAGGCACTTCTCAGCCACAACTAGCCTCATTCGCAACCACTGAACAAGAACCTCGAGCCTTTGAACATCTTCCAACAGGAGTGCGGCCTCCTTTACGAGATCCTCATTGGTCAAGCCCTGCTCAATTTCGACAAATATCTCTAAAATTTTGCCAAGGCATAAATACATTGATCGTTGCACAAGTTCATAGCGCAAGGACAAGAACTGCGACACCTCAGGGTGATGGGATAGAGCTATCTCTAATAAACTCACATAAGCTCGAAGGAATGGTATACCCATCCACTTAACTTTTGAACTCACGGAACCTCGCCCTATATCATTTCCCCTCCTGAGTCCTAAGCCTGGCAGTAGCAACTTGCTCTTCCCCGATACCTCCCTACAGCTATGAATCTCGAAAAGTTTGCTCGCCACCAGGAGGCGAGACTTGCCTCATCTAAACCTCATTTGCATCCTCTATATTCACATGTGTTTATGGCTTAGTAGGGTTTAACAAGACTTGCAGATCCTCCAGGGGCGAGGTTTGCCCCACTTCCCCACCCGAGTTTCCCTCGTTTGTAAGGGAATCTTGTCCCATTCCTTGTACCTCCACTTCCTGTGTTTCCTGAGGATGCAAGGGCTCTGGTACTCCCAAAGGAAAAGTTTAGCTTTTTTCTACATGTTCAGCTTGATCTGGCACCTCTCGAGAGGACATTTCCACATTCTCGCCCCTAAGTGTCTTAGAAGAATCCTCACCCAAATTTTTTGACACTTTGAGAGCTGGGGACTTGGACCCCTCATTCTACTCCGTTAGCTGGGCTTCGTCTCGAGTAGTGTTTATCCCTTCCCTCGCATGACCTGCTTCCTCTTCAATATTCACACCATCATGAGGCAGCTCTGTTGTGCCAGAGTATTCTTGCATCATTTCCGCAACAGCTGCCGCTTGGGTATGAACAGGTACATCTCGCATGGTAATAAGAGGCGAGATGTCCAATGGGTTCAAAATCTCCACTTCATCTTCCCTTGGCCGTACTGATTTATCCTCCTGAGCACAACAATTTAGAGAATTCTCGCCTACGACTCGCATAAAGTCAAAAGTGGGTAAGTTAGGAAATTCACTATCAGAAGCTAATACCCCGCCAGAGCTTACATCATGCATGGTGGCATCAACTCCACTATCTCGCACACGCTGAAGCTTATGCACCCCACCCTGACTTGGTCCAAAGGCAGCGGCTATTGAACCATGCTCTCCTATAAGAGTGTGTTCCCTGTGATCCTCAGTGGATGTATTAGCGTCCACACTTTCTGATTACTCATCCACAAATGGAACCCTACTAGTTAATGCCATTGGTAGAGATGTGTTTGGTGCTAGAGGCTTTATACTCTCTTTTCTAGCAGTAGTAATTGCCGAGACTACAGTACTCAGCTGCTCATTTTCTGGGAAGTCAGCATTTACACGAGAGGTGGCTCTAGTTTTATATCTAAGGATAGGCGTTGGAGCTATTTTAGCCTCAGGAATAGACGTTGTCATTGCAGGTTACAATGACTTCCCTTGTTACATCGCTGCCGGTGTAAGAGCAGGTGCGAAACTACAACGAGCGCCCCTGTTAAAGTCTATAGGGGGTCTCAACGAGTAGTCCCCCATATATATTTCCTGAGCTTTCACTAGCTGAGTAGGACTTGCACAAAATCCTTCCAGCTCGCAAGCTCAATAGCCCAGAGCGAGCGCTCTGCCTCTGTATATATAGGGACCCTATCCCTCCCTGGAAGAAATAGTGCACCAACCCCTTCTCTTAGCAGTCCAACATGCATTGCCACGAATCTCGAAAAACTACTGTCATATGAATTCTCGCCCCCAGCGAAGATATACTGCGAGGGCACCCCCCTGTCATAGCCAAATTGCAAGGGCACTCAGCGAGGGTTATAGGTCTTCAATAGCTGGGTAATTATCCCATGGGTGACAGTCCGCGTGTGCACCCAAGAGACCGAGTCGTGACCCTCCACGAGGACCGTTGATTCGAACGTGATGAAGAAGAGATGTTTAAAGATGAATGATTAGTGGGGTGATGTAGTGGTACCGGTAAGTAATCGCATCATGTGGTGGTGATAGTAACGTGGGCCATGGAACCACCACTCTATATGTGGTGCTAATAGGTGGTACACTGTATCGACATCTCGGGAGCTCAAGGCTTCGTAGAGGGCTTTCACCACCCTTTTGTTGGCTTCTTCTTTTTCCTCCAGGCTTGGTTGTGGGCTAGCCTATAGCTCTGAAATACGACATACAGAGATAATGAGGAATATGATTATATAACACCATATGTGTTTATAGGAGGGATGTAGGCTACTTATATAGGAGAGATCAATAAGACTCGAACACGGCACACTTGTGGGAGCTGAGTACTCTACCAAGTAGCTCATTGAGCAATGTATTTTTCTATACGATTTAAATATATCGAATTGAGATTTTAAGAACATTATTTCTAATTTTAAAATTATTAATCTTCAAATTATAAATAATACAGTTTAAATTAAAAATAATTATGTAGAAATTTCTAAGGCACCCTGCATGGAAGGACTCTACTAGCTAAAGAAGAGCATCTAGATGCTGGTGTGCATGGGGATCAGATTAGATAGCCCAATAAGGAACAACTAAAAGTTATAAAATAAATTGTTTTTAGTAGAATTTTGGATGTCTGGTGTTCTCAGCAATAAATATAGGGAAAATTAGGTTAGATTAATTTGACCCAAAATAATAATTAATATTGTTACAGTTCAACTACATTAAGGTTTAGAAAATGACTTGAGCCTAATCTATTTGGTTGGTGCATGAGGATTGGTGTATATACACTATAGGGCAAAGTAGAGAAAACCCCCATTGACTTGTAACATTTTTCAATAAACCCTTCTTGTCTATTTTTTAACCAAAGA